GTAGCTTTCTAAGAAAATTGGCCATTTGTGATAAAAGTTGTAAATGTTATGTTCTCAGTTTGTTATGTTTCTGCCATTTAGATTTTTTTATAAATGTAGTCAACTTTTTCATCTTTTCTTTTATAGCTTTAGGGTAATATATCTTAATTATAAAAATTTTCCCACTATACATAATTCTCTCATTTTCTTTTTGTGGTATTTTAATGATTTCATTTTTTTCTCTACTTTAATATTTTATCCATTTTATACTTATGCTGATTTAGAGTATTAGTAACAACTTACACTTTTTCAGATGACTACTTAGTTATCCAACACCACCTTTTTAATTGTCCATCTTTTCCCTACTACTATGTATTTGTTTATATTTGTGCATTTTCTATTGTTACATCAATATCTTTTCCTTTATCAGCATCCGATTGCTGTAATTATTTAGGTTTTATAGTATGTTTCCATGTCTGTTAGGCTAATTCCTCCTTCTTACTTTTTTCAAAAATTTTCTGACTATTCTGCCTTGTTTATTATATCATGAGCTTATAATCCCTTTGTCTAGTTGTAAGAATAAAATCCTATTGGTATTTTTATTGGACTCATTACATAGAGAATTTGAAGAATTTACATCTTTTTGGCATTTAGTCTCCCTATCCTACATATTATACCTTTCCATTTGCTTATGCCTTCTTTTGTCCTTGAGGGCTATTTTAAGGTTTTGTGCCTATAGAATTTACATGTTTCTTGATTCCCAATTTATTTCTCTTGTGTATCTTCTAATACAGTTAGTTAGTCCAACAGACTATTACAATATATTGCTTTGGTAATGATGGTCTCCTTCCCTTGTATCTCTCTGTCAGTGGGAATCTTTCCAGGGTTTTCCCATTAAGCATGGGTTCCCAGGGAAGGCGTTTCTGGAGGGGGAACATTTAAGCTGAGAACTGAGTGACAAAAAGGAGCCAAGTATTCAAAGGAAAAACCCCCAGGAATGCAGCAAATAGCATTCCTAAGCAGAGAAAACAGCAAGTACAAAGGTCTTGGGTCAAGGAAGAGGGTACTTTTATCTTTTTAACACTCTAAGAAGAATCCATTGAAATTGATGAGGTAGGGATGGAACTAGGGAAGGATAAAGAGATAAGCAGAAACCAGATTAGGAATGGTTCTGCAGGCCTAGTGAGGAGTTGCGATTTTATTCCTGAGTAACATAAGCCTTCGACCTATTTTAAATAGGGGTACATTATCTGGTTTATGATTTATAAATAGTATTTGAAGAATTAATTCATAAAATTTGTGTTGGTTATCTGTTGCTGCTTAACAAATCACCCCATAATTTAGCAGCTTTTTCTTTTTTTTTTTTGAGACAGTCTCACTCTGTTGCCCGTGCTAGAGTGCCCTGGCAACAGCAGCCTCAAACTCCTGGGCTCAAGCGATCCTCCTGCCTCAGCCTCCCGAGTTGCTGGGACTACAGGTGCACGCTACCATGCCCGGCTAAATTTTTCTATTTTTAGTAGAGACAGGGTATCGCTCTTACTCAGGCTGGTCTCGAACTTCTGAGCTCAAGCGATCCTCCAATCTCGGCCTCCCAGAGCGTTAGGATTACAGATGTGAGCCACCATGCCTGCCCTCTTTTCTCTTCTCTTCTATTCTCTTCTCTTTTCTTTTCTTATCTTTTCTTTTCTTTCTTTTCTTTTCTTTTCAAGACAGGGTCTCATTCTGTTGCCCAGGCTGGAGTACAGTGGCATGATCATAGCTCACTGAAGCCTTGAACTCCTGGGCTCTGGTGATTCTCCTGCCTTAGCTTCTGCAGTAATTGGGACTATAGGCACATGCCACTGCACCAGGCTAATTTTTTTATTTTTTATTTTTTGTAGAGACAGGGTCTCACTATGTTGCCCAGACTAGTCTTGAACTCCTGGCCTCGAGTGATCCTCCCTCCTTGGCCTCCAAGAGTGCTGGGATTACAGGCATCAGCCACTGCACCTAGCCAAAATTTAAAAGCTTTGAACAACAAACAGGCATTATCTTGAGTAGTTTTTGTGGGTTAGAAATCTAAAAGCAGTTTAGCATGGTGCTTCTGGCATAGGGTTTCATGAGGTTGCAGTCATTTGAAAACTTGATTGGAGGAGAGTGTGTGGTCAGCGGATCCATTTCCAAACTTTCCTATTGGAGGCCTCAGTTCTTCATCTTAAATGTTCTTGTAATATGTCAGTTTGGTTTTCCTTAGTGTGAATGAATCAAGAGAGCAAGGAGGAAGTTTCAGCGCCTTTTATGACCTAACCTTGTAAACTGCTACATGGGTCAGCCCTTTGCTGTGTAGGAGGTGACTAGGCAAGGGCT